ATACTATGAGAACGTACAAATGAAATCAAATATAACATTCTTGTTAAAATGCAGTGCAAGAAAAATAATTTTTACAATACAATGGTTTGATAAAATATCATATCTAAACTAAGTTGTTTAATTGTTGAAATTAAAACAAACCTGACTTCTGATCTGAAGCTATCATGTAACCATTTTATAGTTGATCACCATTCAAACAGTTCAAAAGTATATACACAATCTTCTACAATTTCATTAAGTTAATTGCCTAATTTAGATATGCAAATAAGTCGAAAATACAATATTCTTTAACAAAATAAATAACAACAACATAGCCTTGTATTAAATAAATTTAGAGCCAACTACAACAGACCATACGCAAAATCAAGTATACATGTCGTAAGATTTGACAAAGTTTTCTATCTGTTATCAACCTATCACAGTCTTCCTCCATAATAAACCATCAATATACAAATGCAACCCTCAACAAGCTGCAGAACAAATTTGATGCGAAAATGAAGCCATTTAGTTGCTGATGAGCATTCAAACAGTCTTAAGAGTGTATAATAGCAACACAATCTGTGTCATTTCATCATGTTTATTGCCTAACTCAGATACGAAATATGCCTCAAATGGAGTATTCTTCACTTCGTACTAGTGTTATTTATCATCCAGCAACATCAAATTTAGTTCACATATAGATTATATCTCAAAAGCAAAAATACAATAACAGGGACAACAGAAAGTACAATCATTTTCCTGATTTCTTTAAACACTTTACCTCTTCAACCTTTTTGACAGTATCTCACATGTACCACTTTTTATCTCAAATTGTATCAACAGTTAGTATTTTCTCGCCCAATAGAATAGAGACACTCAGTGACCTTGACATCAATTTATGTTAAACTAGCCAAATCTTAGGATTTAGGAAGAGGGGAGACTTGGGGAAGTGAAAAAAATAACGAAATAAAAAAATAACAAAATAAACTTATTCTATAGCACTGGACTCTGAAGTGTGATGGGCAAACGACAACTGGGAAAATAAGAGAGAAATGGACAGGCTCGTTGTCGGCGAGTTGGGTCAGAGTGAAGATTGAGAGACTGAGAGTGAGAGTTAAGAGGACTTAGTTTAGGGCTTCTTTTATTTTTTCATTCCCCCGCCTTCATTTCTTTTTTTTTTTTTGGTATTCGGGTTGAGTTATATCAGGTTTTCCATTTTTTACCCATAACTCGACCCGTACCTACTTGACCCATAACCCGACCCACATCGACCCACACCTATCCAACCCAGGCATTTAATGCTGATTGACATTTCTATGTTGATTGACATGAATAATGATATGGAAAATTTTGAATTCTTGTGTGAAAATAATATTTCTAACAGGGGTATTTTCGTCTACATAATTCGAAAATGGACATTGACAAAATTGTGGACATTTTGGCAAATGACTCGCTGAAAATGGACATTACGTGAAATTTCCTCTTGGGGGGGTGAGTGGGTGGGGAATAATCAATTTGTACATACTTGATTGGATTGGCGTTCCTTTCAAATTCATGTGAAGTCCAAATCAAATCGACAAATCATTTGACTTGTACTCCCTATAATTCATGTGAAGTCCAAATCAAATCGACAAATCATTTGACTTGTACTCCCTATAAACTAAAATTGATTGTTCAAACAAATATATCCACGCCATAGTTCATACTTTCATATTTCTTTGCTCCAACGTTCAAAACTATAGATATCTACTTGTTCGGAATTAAGACAAATGACATTTATTTTAGTTTCAAGTTTTACCACCCCATCTTATTCCATCACCTACCATTCCCCAAATTGATAGAAATGTTAGTTGGTAGCCATAGCCCATACTACAAGTGATTTTTCATGTAATTGCTCGGTGATATCTTACAGAGCGAAAAGAAGGGATAAAATGACAGTTATAACCTTTTTTTTTTAATTAAAAGATTAAAATGAGTGTGTTTGTTTGTTTTTTTTTTTTCTTCAAATTTTAACATTCTTATGATATGTTGTAGTAGTAAATTAGCACGTCACATAAGAATTATTAGAAGATTTGTTATAGTATGACTGTCAATTAAGTAATTGAATTGAAATTTGAAGTTCAATGACATCAATTGAAACTAAACTGAAGTTCAATAGCTCAATTGAAACTAAATTAAATTCTAGTGACCTAATTGAGAATCTTCTGATAGTTCAGTGACCGCATTGAAATTTACTGGCTTATAGGCCAAACCCTAAATGCACGTATTCTGGAATTTAATTTTCCCCCAAATCCGCTCAAAATTCAGTCTACTTCCACATTGTCCTTTTTCTTTTTTGAAGCTACCAACAGGTAAATAGCAAAATATAATTATTAGTATGTTTCTGTGGCATGGATTTTCTTGATTTTTCTCTAATTAAGCGTTCTTGTTCCTGTAATTTTATTTAGATGACTTGACTTTTTCAGGCTTGGAATTATTTTGTATAGTTTCTGATTTTGCTGCATAATTTCAATGTGCATAAGTATTGTATAATAATGCTTCTAATTCTGGAACAGATTTAGTTTTCAAAAAAGAATAAATGGAAACAACAGCATCTCATCATGATCTTCTCAAGCAGGTATATTCAGCCTTTTTGCTCATTTTTTCTTCGAATGCTTTAATTGATAGATGCACGTATATTATATGCTTTGATGAAAATACTAATGGGTTCCAGCGGTGGAATTCAAAGGTGAGGAGTCACGAGGTTGCTGTAGCGGAGCTAAATAATCTTTCTTCCTCTCGGGTATGATTGTAGTACCATTGAGATTACTATTTTCATTATGTTGGGTTATTGAGCATGTGATCCAACAAAAGAAAAGCTTTAAAATAATTTACATTGAAGTAACTTTCCGTTTCCAATCGTGTTTGGATAACTTCTTCTTTTTTCTTAAACTCTTGACTTATTGTCAAATTAACTTATTTAGGGTGTGCTTGTCACCCATTATTTGGGAAGAATGTATTATGGAATAGTAATTGATGTTGAAATGTATGGTTAAAAAGGAAGGAAAAGTTTTTTATTTACGTATAATATTATTTTAACGAAAAATGTGTGGTTGAAAATAAGTACTGTAAAAAAAAAAAATAAGAAAGAATGAGAGAAAATGGATGACAAACAAGGGCTTACTTATTTGTGATCTTGTGATAAGTAAACTTTATCAGCTTAGCCAAATCTCCATGTTTGTTATGTTTTGATTGATTTGTCATGTATAGTTTGTTTATGGAATTACCTGGATTATTTTTTGAGGAAACTTTTACACACGGAGACAATAATATGAGTATTGTATGGAAAACCTCCTTGATTTCCATTTTTTTTTTAATTTTATATAAATAGAAGTTCTATTAGTTCTCATTCGATTAATGTGACATTTATTTAATCCATTGAAGAAGGAAAGGGTCTGTAAACTGGAAAACTCTGTAAATATTCTTGATAGGGACATGGTTGATAGTTTTGCTTGGGATATAGGTGGTTTCAAAATTAGTTGATGCGGCATGCATCCATACATATACTACGCATAAATGTTTGGAGACGCCATTTCTATTTGAGATCTTGGAGGACATAATGACTTGTTAATTAGATCAAGGACATCTAGGATTTGTTGATTAGTTGTCAAGGGGGCTTACCAAATCCCAAAGAATGTTACAAGATGTGCAGTATTCTGTTATTTACTAAGATATATTGGAAGGAGAGGTGAGAAGATGTTTGGCGATTCTTTCCATGAAATATTCACACAATGTTGGTGAAGCTTAGAAATACCTTTTTTCCCCTTACTTTAAACTAAACGGGGATGCTGATTTTGAATTGTAATTTTTACCATGATGTCGCAATAATTAACTTATTCTCAATTTTGTTCATTCAAAAAAAATACTTATTTTGAAATTCACTTATAGCCCGTTTGACATGGTTTTTGAAAAGTCAAAATAACCTTTTGAGACCTAAAACTGCTTTTATACCTATTTGGCTAATTTTATAGAAGAGTTTTTAGAGAAGTTAGTCAAATGTGGCTTCCTCTAAAATTACTTTCGGATTAGAAAGTGCTTTTAAAAATTAGTTTTCAAATTAAAATTAAGATAGATTCTTCCAAAAGTTCTTTTACAAGAAGCAAAAGTAAAAGCCATACCAAACGGGACCTTATTATTTAAGTGAACTTCTTAAGCTTAGCCAAGAATGCCCTAAATTCTGAAATGAAGCTCTAGAAATAAAATATTGGATGACTTCTTTTGGATCGTCAAAATTGAACCAAGATGATATGTACCATTTTGTCATGATCCTATGAATTGATGATATAATACACCTTTCCAAGTATTTATAACTTTGCCATTCATTCAATAGAGGAAGGGCATCATTTATTTAGAAGAGATGCCTTTTATGTTTAATCTGATTCTCTTGATTCACAATTATTCTGTTATTGTCATAAGTCCTAGGATAGACAGATACTATTTAAATTCTTATATACTTTCCAAAAATACCGTTTTGGAAACTCAATCTCCCATACATTATTTTTGGTTTTGAACCTCATAGGTAAGAATTTGATGAGCTGAATCTGTTGAATTCCTAATTCACTTTTGAGGTCTACTGTACATGGATGCTCAGCATTTAGTGTTGGACAATATTGGATGATAATGTGAACAATAATATGACTTATTTTTTATTTCATAATACCTAGTGTTCGCCAATCCATCTTACGAAACATATCATTCTTGTGTAGTGTTCCTAATCTGGACTCACAATAAGCTTTAATCAATTTAATGGACGAATAAAGTAAAGTGATTTCTTTTATGACTTGAGGTGTACGTCATGTCGTCATAGATAATGATGATTTGCGAGAAACACGTTTTCGAAAAAATTTGGATACTTAGCTTCACTAATTCTTAATTACTTTTTCTGTAAGAATATAAGGATATAATTCTCAACAAAATTCCTATGATTAGCGATATTGACGTGTGCAATTGGGTAACTAAACTAGTTGATTCTCTTTCGCCTATCAGCCGGCCGGCTTGTTGCAACCTTCACATTTCTTGCTGAGATCCCAGGTCTCCAAGTGGGCCCCTCTTGGCCACACAACATCTTGAGCAGTTTCTTTAGTTGATATTCAACCAGAAATTTTTGTTTGCTTTTTCAGCTTTTAGAGTCAAACAGTAGTTAAAGATTTTGAAATATCCTTTATTTTGGTTGTACTTAGAAGTTACTTTCCTGTTACTGTATGGTACTAATCCAGTGCTAGATGTTTTATTATGACGAAATCATTTTGTCATTTGATTGTAGGCTGTTTATCAAAGAAATGGGAATATATATTTCCGTACAAGCATTCAGAAGGCAAAGGAATCCGAACAGAGTAAGCATACACACCCTTCATCGCAGGCCATTATTTGGGTTTGTTGTTTGGTTGATGTTGTTATTGTTGTTTGTTAATTTTTGGCCAGAACAATTGGATTTTGCCAAAGCTAAGCTACAAAAGCCGAGTTCGAGTTGATAGCATCATCAAACCACTGCAACCTCCAACGTTGCCGGTATTGATGTTCAGAAGAGAGAAATTATGTAGAACTGAAGGAGGAAAATATAAATTTTTTCAACAAATTTGGACGGTGCTCTTAAGGAATCGTTACGTTTGATTATGAAGATGAAACAAGAAGTACTTTCGTGGCACATTTACATCTATCCCTATTCTGTTAGCTATTTCAAATTTGATTTCGAGTCGGTCGGATTTTCTTTCGGTGATCTTGTGTCGTAATGGATGATATGGATTCTCAAGTATTCCATTAGGTCATGTTTGGTATGCAGTTTTGAACGAGACTAGAAAGTAGAATTAACAAAGTTTAGTTTCTTTTTCTTTCTTCATAGTGTCAATATTTTTTACAAGACATGTCCTTAGTTTATATTTGTTTTAATTTTAGGTATCAGCCACATGTGGTACGTGTTGTAGTCTCTTTCTTTAGATGCCAAGTCCAGAATTTGTATGCTAGGTTGAAAGATTTAGAGTCTGTTGCTGTAAACAAATTCGTAGAACCAGTCGAACCTGATGCATACACGCATGCCTCGATATCTTCTAAAATATACTCTGTAGTAAGTTTTACCTTACTGTGAAAATAAGTAACTTATTTTTAATTTTAACATAAAAAATTACTAATTTTAGAATTTATTTACTTATAACTGAACTTTTAAAATTCGTTGTGAGGTTCTCAATGTTAAGAATCTGGAGTTTGTTCGGTGGCAATCTTCATCCAAGTTTTAATGAATTATTGGATTTGACCTAATTTTTTAACAACTTTTAAGCTCTCCCAAACATGCATCAAGTGCAACCCCAAAACATAGAGATACAGATTCCACTTCTAAAAGGCATGTGGACCAAAATTGATTAAAAAACAATAAAAAAATCAAAACATATGGTGTATTCTCGACGTAGAGACGAGATAAGAGAAAATAAGGCTACGGTTGATTTTGTGTTTTCGGGCCATTTTCCATTTTTTGGTTTCGAAAACGTGAAAAACGCGTTTGATCTGTCGTTTTCGAAAAGGATTTTTCGTAAACGAGTTAAAATTTATAACTGAAAACGCAATACAACTTTTTATTATTTTGAGCGTTTTCAATTATAAATTCCCAAAACACAGAAAACGTCCAAAACGCCCCGTTTTCAGGGAAAACTAAAAATCGTTTTGAAATCGAAAATGGAAAACTAAACCAAACGCACCCTAATGTTCTGTTCTGTTCGATTTGCATTTTAATTTTCATTTCATTTTCTGTTTTTATGTTTTGAGGATTTATGTTGGTGATTACTTATTTAAATTGACTTTGCACAAAAGATAAAAATGTATTCTAAATGGGTTTGCTCCAGACCGGACCGGTCCCATTAACCGGTTTGCAATTTTAAATCGTTCCACTGGTTTAATCCAACCCAGTTCAGAACGCACAAAACTCAAAAGCCCTAACCTAATCCCTAAGCCTAAACTCGCCTGTCACTGGGGATACAATTGAATCCACCGGCAAGTTTCTTTGACACTGGTAAAGCCCAAAAAAATCTGTAATAATTTAAGGAAAGCCCCAAAAAGTTTGCGAAAAATGGGAAAAGCGAAAGATAAGAATGGAAGTGTGAAGTTATTTGATGATGACGGTAATGGGTTGAATGATGACGTTTCGAAGATTGAGATTAATCAAGAATTTGCCCGTCGATATGAGCACAATAAGAAGAGGGAAGACTTGCAGAGAATTCAGGAACTGGAAAAGAAAGGGATCGTCAATTTTAGAGATGATGATTCGGAAGAGTCTTCTTCGGAAGAAGAGGAGGAGGACATGCTTATAACAAGTAAGAAACAGGATTTGAAATTTTTGGATGCTTTGATTAAGGTGAAAAAACAAGATACTTCATTAAACAGTAAAGAGGCAAAGTTGTCCTTTTCTGATTCCGAGTCAATGTCGGAGTATGAAAATGATAATACGAATGAGAACCGAAACCTAGATGATAATAATGACGGTAGAAAGGGGACGAAACCCATGTATTTGAAAGATGTTGTTTCAAAGCATTTAATTGAGGAGGGCCCGGAGTTCAATGATGAAGGTGACGATGATAATGAAGATGTGAATAATAAGAATATTGATGTTAATGTGAAAGTAAAGAGTTTTTTGGAAGAACAAGAGGAGTCAAGGAGGGAGTTTTTAAAGGTGTTTGAGGAGGCTGCGAATGTTGAGGACGAGGAAGGGGATTTTTTCAGTGTGAAAAATGGCATCGGTAAAAGGGAAGAGGACGATGGTGAAATTGACGAAAAGTTGGATGAATATTTTGGGGAGGATGAAAAGCTAGATGAGAACACTAAGTTCTTAAAAGATTATTTTCGGAATGAATTGTGGCTGGATGATGGTAAAAGTAATAATATTGTGGATGAGGATGTCGGGTTTTCAGAGGATGAGGAAGAGATAGAAAAGCAAGAGGATTTTGAGAGGGGCTATAATTGTAGGTTTGAAGAGAATGCGGGGGATAGAGTAATGGGTCATTCACGAAAAGTGGAGGGTTCTGTGAGGAAGAAAGAGAATGCTAGAAAGTTGCAGAGGGAGAGGAAGGAAGAGAGAATGATGCAGGCTGAGTATGAGCGGAATGAGGAATTGAAGCATTTGAAGAACTTGAAGATAAAGGAGATTAAAGAGAAATTGCAAAAGATTAGGGAGGCTGCAGGAATTGGGGAGGATGGCAATTATTTGTTGGATGAGGATGATTTGGAGGAAGAATTTGATCCCGAGGAGTATGACAGGAAGATGAAGGAAGCATTTGATAAAAAATATTACAACGCAGAGGATATGGATCCAGAGTTTGGGAGCGGTAGCGATGAAGATGCAGCTGAGTATGAGAAACCTGATTTTGTTGAGGAAGATAGGTTGCTTGGACTTCCAAATGGTTGTGACGAGATGGAGGAGACTGGAGATGGATTCTTGTCAGCCAGGCAAAGAATTTTGAAAAGTAAGGTCCATGGTGAAGATGAAAATCAGCTTGTAGAAGATGAGGGAAATGATCCTAAAGAGGGTAAGCGGAAAAGAAAGCGGAAGCCCAGTGAAATGGAGAACGCAGTTAAAGAGCAACTGATGGAGGAGTATTATAAGTTGGATTATGAAGATACAATAGGAGACTTGAAAACAAGGTTCAAGTACAAACCTGTCAAGTCTTAAAGATTTGGATTGAGCACCGAAGAGATTTTGATGCTGGACGACAAGGAGTTGAACCAGTATGTTTCTATGAAGAAGCTGGCTCCTTACAGGGAGAAGGAATGGAAAGTGCCTCGAATTAAAACATACCAGCAAAAACTGAGGAACAAAGCACTTCTTGAAGGAGAGACATCAAATATTAATAACAAGTATTATGACAAGACACGACGTAACGGTATGGAAAAAACAAAAGTGGTTAGTGTGGCAGACAATGAGAAATTACCAATGGAAGAATCGAATGGTGATACAACCAATTTATCCAGACGAATTAAGAGAAGGCGTCGTCAAGCAGAACTGAAACTGTCACATTCGAGACTTATGGCGTATGGAAAAATCCATTCCAAACCTAAAAGTACGAAGCATTAGAGCAGAGAATGGTAAAAAATTTGGCAATATTTCTATTGAAGGTAATACGATGAGCTCGACTTGTGTTATTCTTGACCTATTATTCATCTTTTTCTTCGTTAGATTTTTAGAAAAATTTGACCAATCTCTTAATAGACAAAGTTTGACGAGAAACGAATATTTTCATATGAATTTCTGTATAATAAAGTGAAGTTGAAGGAAGAAGATTATATTGAACATCAAAATTATGGTTATTAAAGCTTGTTTTGACATTAGACAAGCATCTGATGAAAGTAATTTTGGAATCCGTTTATGTTACAAATAAATTTGTAGTTCAGCCAATATTCTTAAGCTGAAAGACTAATGCAAAACTAGAAAACGGTATTTAAAAAGTACTGATCAAATCTTTTCCAATTGAAACTTGAGTCGGCAGTGTCTGGTGTCTCCTGCGATAGTAAGAAATTGGATCCTGAGCACATTATGCATTGCACAGGGTTAAAATGGTGCTGATTTAAACGGGGGTATGTTGACTCATTAACTCTTTCTTTAATATTTTTTCTTTTTATTTTGAAGATGTTTTTAGTTTAACATTAGCCTCTACCTGAATCATGGTTCTACATTTGGACTTCTTCTTTATGTGAGAAAAGGAAGAGGGTTGGAGTGTGATGCAATTTATACCAAATAATGTTGGTGAATGACTATGCTGGCTGTGAACCATAAATCACAAACTTACAAGGGGAAGAAAGCTAAAATATAATATATTTGCCACTTCAAGATCATGGTTATTTTGATTTGTTTTACTCAAGTATGATTATTGTCGTCATTATTGATTGCTTTTTATTGTATCATATGATGTTAGTCCGGATGCTGGAGATTAGTTCACGACTTTTGATGTATTGAAACAATGCCTCGTTAAAAGTTGCAATTTATATTAAATATCTTGCATAGTTGTCATCTATGATATGCTTGGACACGGACAAGTGTTATATACACTGACACGTGATTTTAAAAAAAAGTACCGATACGACAAGTCAATGACACATTAATTAATTTCTTAATTTATATAGTATAATTTCAGTTTTATACTTTTCATTGGTTTTTTCTTGAAATATTTTAAATATACGTATCTATTTGTTATTTACTAATAATTTTGAATTAAAAATATATAATATTTCTAACAAAAAATGAAAAATGATTATAGTAGGGCGTCCGAGGGGTATCGGTGTCCAACACGGACACTTCACTCTAGTTGAAGTGTCCATGCTACAGAGGCTGTCATCTTCTTGCCCATTTTCTATGTTTTTTGGATGGTCTGTCGTAATTTGGAAAGAACTCCTCAGTTCCCAATCCTCAGGCATCTCATTATAATTTCCGGAGCCCAGAAACATTGCAGCCATTCTGTTAGAAGCCATATGTTTCCTGCTATAAACTTTAGTCTTGCACTTTGCAAAAGATGACAAGTTTTATCAATAGAAAAAATCTAAGACTTATGGTATGAAAAACCTATTTTCCATATAACATGAATGTAATTAGTGTTTGTGTGTGTGATTTAGGACAATTCTATCACTAACAGGACTGAATTTTTTCTTGTTGTAATAGGATTTTATTTCTTGTTTAAATTAGTATTTTTTTATTCTTATAGATTTTTAATTAATTTTAATTTAGGTTTTAATTACTTATCTTCCTTAAGGTATTAGATAGGATATTATTTTGCCTATATAAACAAAGACTAATAATGATTTCCATATCAATTCATTACAATAAAGTGTCATCTACAACTTTTCGAGAACTTTAATCTTGTTTTAAGAACTTCAATTTTGTTTCCGCACCCAACACAAAGAGCACCTGAAAGCATTTAGATTTTTTGTGATCCCATTTCAGCGCAGAAGTCTCAAAGGGTAAGTTACAGATCTACAAATATGCAGGTACTAAGTTGGATAGGCAGAAGGTAATAAGAGCCAATTTACAGATAGGATTTGACTTAGGGTCTGGCGATCATGATTTCCCATGCAGCCATTTTGTCTGAAGAAGGGAAGGTTTTATAGAATTTGGAGAAACTTCTTATTGAGTTTAGTCTTACTAGTGCTCTAACCAGATCCATGCATTGGCTAGCAGTTTCTCAAATGATGATTCTACTTATGTTTGGCCAAGCTTAAAAAGAAAGTAAATGTTAGCTTTTGTTTGCAAACATGTTATACATCTTACTATTTCTTAATTTGTTAAGTTAAAAGTTTCTTTTACTTTACTTCAAAATAAGCAACTTCGTTTTTCCCAACTTTTACAAGTGAACATGTTGACTTTTTAATTGATTTTTTAAGCTTAGTCAAATATGTCGCAGAAGCAGAGTTTGTTGAAAACTTAGGAACTTGTTTATACTACGCTAGCAAGGGTAATTAATCATAAATACTTGCTTTTCATCATAGATTCTTGTCACAAACTGCTCCTTCATCTAGGTTCTATGGGTTAATATGGTTTACTATGTAGCTTTTGCATTGTGTTCTTTGTGTCTCTATCACTGTGAAGTTTAGTGCTACAATATGCCTAAGATATGGTGATTCTTCTTTTAGTTGTTTCTAATATAAAATCTGTCTTCAGTTAACCGACTATTGCAAACTTCCCGCTCAGATTGTGAAAATTTCTTACCAAGTTCATCGTCTAGCCCAGTATTATGATCAAGAGGAGCAAGGTAAAACATCTGGTTCACTTGACAGACTTGCTGGTGGTGAGATGGGAGGAATGCTCATCATTATCTGTTTTCGTTCAGACTGGAATTAATTCCAAGGCTTGGAGGGATGTTCCCACCCGAGTTTTTGGTTTAATGTCTTACACCACAATGGGTGAAAACATATTTATTTGGCCCATTGCAGTTTTGTTGAATTGAAAACTGAAGTGATGAATATATATTTCGTTTCTCTCTCTTGAAGTTTTTGTGTTGTGAAAGCCAGCAGAGTTGGCATGTAAGAGTCGTAAATTTTAGAATAGATCATTTACATGATATGTTGCTTCCGGTTACTATTATCTTAAGTGACAAACATGCCTTACATTTTGCTTGTTTATGGAAGGATTTTTAAACTCGGCTGGATATTAGCTGGTTTATGGAAGCATATTACTATTGTGTCTTATTTTCTGTTCTGACTGCATATTTTGTTTTCGGAAGCTGCCTTGCGCCCCCCCCCCCCCCCCCCCCCCCCCCCCCCATTTGCCCCCCCCCCTCCCCCCCCCCCCCCCCCCGGGGGTGTAATTTTTTCATGAGTAATGCATGTTCGGGTGGGTTTATAAGCTGCTTATTTTACTTAAACGAAGGTTTCAGGAAAAAAGCTTAAACCCACACAAGAACATATTTTTCATGACTAACTTCGAAAATCATGCTAGTGTGCTAGAATTTTTTTGACACCCTAGTTGACATACACTCACAATAGGGATGGGTGGGGGACATTTCTTTTGCATTCTTTATTCACGCGGGTCCCATGTGGATCCTACGCATGTGAGAATAGGTCATCTAAGGTGTCAAAATTTTTCTAGCAACTTGACTTAATTCTTGTACTTTTTAGTTAGGAATGTTTATAGAATCAGATCGAAACATTTTTGATTGAAAATTTTGGTAGAAGTTCCAAAATGTAAACCGGTTACATGCAGGAAAACTGAAAATATAGAAACCATTAACAGAAATTTGTACTTGGTAGCTCTATAAGATTGCCATTTGTTACATGTGTGCGCTTGTATTGAGCTTGTCAACCATGTAAAAGTCGACCAATGCTTGACGTGAAATACTTTTGTACAGTGCCATGTGATTAAGTAAATTCCAGTGTATTTATTATTTATTAATTTATTTATTTTCTCTGGAATAAACAATGGAAATAACAGATTCATTTTTTTTATGAATAAAAAAAGGGGAATTTACATAAATGTCACTAAAATTGAAAATACATAAAAAAAATTCATTTGCACCATTTTTTTCCAAAAATGTCATTTTTTTTATACAAAATGTCCACTTTACCCTTTATGACACTTTTTTAGGAGTAATAAATGCTTGATTTGAACGCAATTAATGGTGTGATGTGATAATTTATTTTATATTTTTTAAACATTCAAAATATGATTATTACATTGTATACCATGAATTTTTGTTAAAAAAATGGATGAAAAGTTAAAAAAAAAAAAAACATTAAGCATGTATGAATACAAATCCTGCCTTCTTCTTTTTCATTCTCATTCCATCATCAACAAGGAAAAGCTATTGATAAATCTCGAAGGTGAGCTATTAGAAATTGTTTATATTTCCATCTCATAATTTACTACTTTAGATGTTTAATACAAAATGGTTATATTTAATTGAAATTTTTGAATCTCTTATTCATTAATGTGTTTTATTTTTGATATATTTTTCAAAAGGAAAAAATATCAACATCCTCTAGAAAAATGTGAAAGATTTCATATTTAATGAAGTATTGAATCATTCCTTATTTATTTGTGGGAAGATATTGTGATGTTATAGTTGAGAATTGATTATCATCATTAATGTTTTCAATAATTTCTTCCAAAGAACGAAACACATGGTTTTCAAGCTTCCCCGAAATTTATGGCAATTCAAATGTCGAGTAGAGTAGTCGAAACCGTCAGGTTAGTCATTTCAAATGTCGAACTCGATATTTACTCACTGTCGGGATAGACAATTTAACTATCGACTTCGACACTTGAAAACTGTTGGAAGCCTTTATTTTTCTTTTTGCTATTATATGGATCTGAATGTGCAAAATTCTCATATTTGCAATATTAATATTTCTGGTATGAGTCATCACTTGAGATTCATCGTGTCGCATAGGGAAAAGTTTGTTCAACCCCCAATGTAATACAAGTTTCTTAAACAATCGCTCAATGTCGTTGTTGACATTGTATGTCGAATGTTCTCCCTACTGCGTTGTACATTATCAAGTTTTATTATAGTTTTGTTGTCATTATCATTTGTGGTCATTATTGCTCCTTATGTTGTCATTATCAAACTCTACTACTGTTGAAAATAATTCAACCACAACATTCAAAAACTACTATTACAATCCACTAAAAAAAATCTAATTTTAATCCCCACAAAATACATTATTTGTTAAGTTGTAAATAGTGGACTCAATTGACGCATAAATGATAAACACCATTAATGTTAAATCGTATTGCTATGGAGAAATGGAGGATGACAATTACAAATTTTGATTGAATTATTTACAACAATATTAGAGGTAGAGTGATTTTTGTACATTAAAAAAATCAGCAATTTAACGTTTTCATTATCTTTATTCCTTTTTATCATGTTTATAACTTATTGATTTCATTGAAGCGTACATATCTTGCATAAAAGTATTTTCAACTTACAGCATTCCGCAACACATTCTCAACTTATATTACCATCTTCAACTTACATCGTTATTATTATTCCCACATCATTCCCAGACTGGCAAATATATGTTCAACTTCACAAGTAAAATACGGATTCATAGACAACATATTGCATGACAGCTCAATTGCTCATCTGCCTTTCCCGACGGATTGTTTCTGTCATCTTCAACACTTAGTCATGACAAATTGTGGCCTTGTTTGAGCCACATTATTTGAAAAAAATACATTTTTCAACAGTGATTTGACATCATTTCAACCACACATTCTTTAATAAAAAAATATTACAAGCAAATTCAAAATATTTTCTTATTTTTTAACCACACATTTTCAATCAATATATTATTCAAAAATGCATTTTCATTCCAATAATGTGGCTCAAACAAGGGCTGTATGAATGATTTTCGACAATTCATTGCAATTGAATAAAGTACACTAAAAATTTTAACGTAACAAATATTCGAATACCCAGCATTATGTACACACATTATCATGTGAATCTCTGACAGAAACTAGAGACCATATATATAGTCTACACATAAACATAATAGTAAAAAGCTATTGTGAAACTAATAGAAACTGTAAAATATTTTAAAGTAAAAAGCTACACAAAAGTACTGTCACGATACGTTTCTATTGTGAAATAAATACATCCAAAAGTTTTATCACGTCATGAACTACTTAAAACAACTGTTATATTATCCTTGAAAATATATGACTATTTTCCTAGTTAACTCCTACAATGTATGTTGCTTGATTTAACGTTGATTGACTTTCTATCCGCTCCCCCTCGTGAATGGAGTCCTAGTCAATGCAGTAGGAACTCGAACATGTGTCGATTGTTACATATGTACGTTAACATCATCGTCACCTTGAACGGTATTGTTGATACCAATGGTATATCAGTGTATACTCCTATGCAAAAGTGGTTTCAATTGTATTAGGTGTCAAAATTTAATAATGGAAGAAAACAACATATTCTACCAAAAGTTGAAGTATAACATTGAAATGATATGTTTATCTTCAATTAAACGTATTTAGCGTAAAATATAAGAATTTGACATTGTATAACTACCCCATTATGAAACTTACCATCTGCCACAAGCATAGGGAACTTCGTGAGTGTCCGATCATGTAACTTTCTGTTCGACACCTTCATACGAAATAATCAAGTTTCAAATGCCAAGGTTAAGAAATCAAAATATTCTAATATATATATTTGTTAAACTGAAAGTAGTAGCACATACCAATTGCCTCTTTTACCCATCTAGTCAATGGACCTTTCGGTAGTTTGGGCTACCAAATTTTAGATCAGTATTTTCATACGAAACAATCATGTTTGAAATCATGAAGATAAAAACTTCAAACAGTGGGACAAATGTGTTTTTAAATTAAAGTGATAATACATACCAATCCCCTCATTTACCTAATTAGTCGATGGACCCTCCGGTAGTCCAGGCAAGCATCTTTTGGGTTGATAACTTCTCTATCTAGGATGATAGTTTATTTCTACAGATGGATTCATAACTATTATGTCTATAATTCATGAAGTAGTAATGGTGTGCAAATTGTATGTTATACATTTCAACCCCTAAAATTACACGTAAAAGAGAAGCTTAACAAAATTTGGCTTCTGCAATCAACTGTCGAGAATTTCAGAGCCTAACTGTTGAGAATGACGATTCATTCGTTGACAGATGATTTCGCTACCGTCAGAATGGACATTACATTTCACATTCATATTGGTTATCCAAGACATAAAGGGCCAATTTATGATGAAAATGATACACGTTATACTTATAACTTCCAATAGCACAACTTTTCATATACTCAGCCATAAGTTTTATATATAAATGCAAATACATTTTTAAGAATGAAAATAGAACGATCCATCACTTCAAACAACATTCAAATAACCCGGAATAATCATATAAAGATACATTTAATCGAGCTTATTTATGCATATTGACCAGAATATACCCAATTCAATCTTAGCTCATTTCTTGAACTCAAAAATTAAACTCAAACTCAATTTTCTCAATAATGACCAATAACCATTATTTACATGAAAGAAAAATGAAAAACGTAATTGCAAGAAATAAATCCATAGATAACTTACATAAATCAAATTTTAACATTTTTTATAGCACTAGAAAAATAGACAACAAAAAAAGAGACATATTGTACCAATTCAGGATCAAAATTGTGAAGAATAAAAAAATAAATACCCCTAAATTTGAAAAATTAGAAGAGAAGAGAGCAACAAATGGAAAAAGAAAGAAAAAAATAAAACCTCAAGAGATTAATGGTGATTTCACCAACGGTGGACCGATTAACGGTCATTTGACTTCAAGCATGGACAAAAATGGAGGACTTTAACGTCGCCGACGACCTTCAGCAAGAGGAAATTGAGTCGTTTAGATTTAGGGAATGAGAGAGAGAATGAGAGGATATATATATATATATATATATGTTTTAAAGTTTTTTGTACTATTTTTTCATCTAGTCAAATCAATTTTTAATGAAGGACATTTAGGATATTTGAATTATTTAGATGGGCAAAAATGTCCAAAAATTTTCAAAATTGACAATATTGCAAAGACCTAAAAAAGGTGACATTTTTGTAAATGTAAAGTCAAAAATTGACTATTTCGATAATTTCCACATAAAAAAATAAAAGGTGAATTTATTTATTGAACCACATTGATTTCTTCTCCAATATCAATATGACGTGAGAGAAAATAAAAGTAAAACCCTACTATAATTTTCTAGCAAATGTGGTGCCGGCAAGGAAATAACAAATTTGCCGAATCAAGATCGGACGACCGTGTCTACCCGTCAATACCGGGAAATCCCAATCCAACGGTTCATATACGTTACGATATCCACCGTTAGATCATCAACTGACGGCCCATATCAAACCATTGTGGGCTCCACCAAACCTTTTCCCTAGACATATAAATAACAATTATAGGTAAAACCATGTCCACTCTGAAGAATTCTTGAACAAAATTCTCTCTCACGCAGTGGTTTTGTGTGTGTGTTCTTGTTCCAAAAAATTGTTTTTGCTTATCTTGCTCACTTATCCGACGCATTATCGCCGGAGATGAAACCGGCGTCGGAGTATATGATAAGAAAATCAAGGTACAGGAGAGTTAATCGTCTAGCTAAAAAGATCAACAGCTAGGATTTTATCAGCGGATCTCACTGTCAAGAATGGACGGTCAAAAGCTTACTAGGAACCACTCATCACTTCTCCGGTTATCCACCACCGTCAGATCATCCATCCACAGCTTATCTTCTATGAACGAGATCGCACCTGATGAAGAAATATATAACCTTGAAGAACGGAAACTTCACTGCAAGCCCGTTTCACCTCTGGTTCGGTCCGGTTCAGTGCGTCTAACTCCAATACTTGCCATATTGTTCCTCTATGTATGCACCCTTTTCGCCTTCTTCAACACGGACGACATAGCCACCTCGGAAAATCTGCTTTTAGGGCTTATTTTAGTTGCGGTTTTACTTTTCTTCGCGTCGAAAAATAAGTCAAGAATCCAACAAAGTTTCAGTTTTTGTAAGGAACTGTGTTATGAGTATGGAAAAAAAGTTGGGTTCCTCTGTTTGACCTCTAAGAACGATGAAAAATCTGTGAAATGGTTCATCGGTGAATCGAACTTCGATTATAAAGAGAATGCTAAGAATATTATAAGAGAAGGAGTGGAATTTTACAGCAATGGGGATTACTATGAAGGTGAGTTTCACCAAGGTAAATGCAATGGGAGTGGAGTGTACAATTACTTCACGAATGGGAGATACGAGGGCGACTGGATTGGTGGGAAGTACGATGGATATGGAGTTGAGAGTTGGTCGAGGGGAAGTCGATATCGGGGGCAGTATAGGCAGGGATTGAGGCATGGCTATGGAGTTTATAAGTTTTACACTGGGGATACATATGCAGGGGAGTGGTGTAATGGGCAGAGTCATGGAATGGGAGTGCAATCTTGTGCTGATGGGAGTTGTTATATTGGAGAGTTCAAATGTGGGGTGAAACATGGCCTTGGTTCTTACCATTTTAGGTGAGAATTGATGTTCTTTTATGCTTGTCTCAATCTGTTTAATTGATTTTTATTTTTTTTTCGAAATTTTTGAGTTAATACGTGAATCTTGTTGGTGTCCGGAGCATAATTGGAGTGTAGGTAGCTGAAATTTTGCAGCTATAAGTGAATGAAGCTCTCGAGCGATGAGGATTGATGCTCTTTGATGCTTGTTTCTATTTGTTAAATTTTTTATTTCACTTTAGTCTTTTTTTTTTTCTTTTTCTTTTGATTTAAATTTTGAGTTGTATATGTGAATCTCAGATGTTGTGTGGAGTGTAATCGTACCGTTGGTAGCTGGAAAATTTGCAGCGATAGGTGGACAAAGCTCTCAAGCAATAAGAATTTGATGTTTTCTGATGCTTGTTTCTATCTGTTTGATTCTGTTTTACTCTATTTTTCTGTTATTTTCGAGTCGATATGTGAATCTTGTTGGACTGTGTGGAGTCTAATGTAGATAGCTGAAAACTTTGCAACGATAAGTGGATGACCCTCTCACATCTAGGGTGAACCACCATTAATTCGTATGGGCTTTCTTCGTTTTATAATGGAGTTAAGTTCAAAATTAATCAATGGCAAATCTTGATCGTACATGTGATTGGTTCTATGTTTGATCTGATAAAATTTTGTTGGTGTTTCTTAATAATGTTGTTTGAGATGACACAGTTTGGTTACAAATTTTGTGGGGGAGGATTCTAGTTTGTAGTAATCGGATTATATCTTATGTTGTTTTGGATTTTGTATGAGATTAGTTGCCTGAAAGTTTTCGAGTTCATGTATTCTATTTGTTGAGTTTTTTGGCTTCTTGATAGATGGAACAATAGATGGTTCTGATTATTTTGATGATTTAGAATCACAAGTTATTGAAGGAACTTGAGAATAAATATGAAATTTGATTGTCTTGTAGAAATGGAGATAGATATGCTGGTGAATATTTTGGAGATAAAGTCCATGGTTTTGGCGTCTATCACTTCTCGAATGGTCACTGTTATGAGGGATCATGGCATGAAGGACGAAAACAAGGTTATGGCATGTATACTTTCCGAAGTGGTGAGACGAGATGTGGCGAATGGGATGGTGGTAAACTTAAGGCGTCCCTTCTTCCGCTAACTGATTCAGTTCTGCGAGCTGTTCAGGTAACAATGTTACTCCTCTCTCAAAGCACAATAAGGTTACTTTTCTAGAAAATAAGTTTGAATAAAATCTAGATGGACTAACTTCTAAGCACAACCAAACATGCTCGTATGTTCACTCTTAACTCTCGTTTTCTCTTGTATTGTCCAGGCTGCTAGAAAATCTGCGGGAAATGCAATAAAACTCTGCATGGTTGATGAACAAGTGAACAAGGCTGTTATGGCATCAAACCGAGCTGCTACTGCCGCCAGAGTTGCTGCTGTTAAAGCTGTTCAGAACAGGATCGATGGAAAATTCTGCGATACTGATGTTTAAGTATTGTCCATAAATTTAAATCTTCTAAGTTGTTCTTGCGTAGAAGGTATATGAGCACCCCGATAAGCAAAAACTCGTCGGAGGTTGAGTGTATGTCGTGGTTTTGTTTCAACTAAGTAATCTGTACATGTTTCAATCATAATTTCAATGGGAAGCATTTTTTATTTAAATGCCATTAAAATTGCGGTCCATGAAATGCACTGAAGATAATAGATAGATATAAAAAAATGCAGGATTACGGGTTGAGCTGACCCACAGCCATTGAAAATAGTTCGAGGGAGTAGTATGATTTTGAGTTCAGACCTTCAACCTCCCATTAACCTGTCTTGAATTAAAAATAATGTATATGACTGAGACTAAGCAAGAAATTGGTGCATAAAATATATGGAAAACTAGAAATATTGGTTCCTAATAAAAGGTATCTTGTTTTCGTTCAAGAGGTGAGACGAGTTACAACAAAGTGAGAATCTGTCGAATAGTTCACACCAAATCCTCACGAAGGTTGAAAGTTGGTCAAGCAAAGATTTAACAAATCAATGATGCTTTGCTGCTTTATTAGTTGGCTTCATAGCTTGCTTCTTCCAACTGTTTACGTGGTTTATTCTTTTTCCTTGACTTACTTAGTTCACATCTCAATTTTGTTAAGGATTCTGGACCTTCTTCTTCACCTGGTCAAAGAGAAAGAATCCTTCAACTCTATGATCACATTTATAGAAATTTGGAGTAGTCTATTGTCCTATTGTATAATAAAAGGAGTAAGTAATTCGATTTGACTGAACTTTCAAACCAAATCATTTTAAATGGTTTGAAAAAACCTCAAACCTAAATCAAACCATTCGACACAGTTTAAGATTTTCTCAAACATATACCTAATGATTTATACCGCGATTATTTTTCTTCATGTTCACTTTGTCACTACTAATTCAATTATTACAAAATACTTTCATACTTTATTAAAAAAAAAATATATATATATATATATATATATATAGTGAGAGCATTTGATGTGATGTTTTAAAGTTTTTTGTACTATTTTTTCATCTAGTCAAATCAATTTTTAATGAAGGACATTTAGGATATTTGAATTATTTAGATGGGCAAAAATGTCCAAAAATTTTCAAAATTGACAATATTGCAAAGACCTAAAAAAGGTGACATTTTTGTAAATGTAAAGTCAAAAATTGACTATTTCGATAATTTCCACATAAAAAAATAAAAGGTGAATTTATTTATTGAACCACATTGATTTCTTCTCCAATATCAATATGACGTGAGAGAAAATAAAAGTAAAACCCTACTATAATTTTCTAGCAAATGTGGTGCCGGCAAGGAAATAACAAATTTGCCGAATCAAGATCGGACGACCGTGTCTACCCGTCAATACCGGGAAATCCCAATCCAACGGTTCATATACGTTACGATATCCACCGTTGGATCATCAACTGACGGCCCATATCAAACCATTGTGGGCTCCACCAAACCTTTTCCCTAGACATATAAATAACAATTATAGGTAAAACCATGTCCACTCTGAAGAATTCTTGAACAAAATTCTCTCTCACGCAGTGGTTTTGTGTGTGTGTTCTTGTTCCAAAAAATTGTTTTTGCTTATCTTGCTCACTTATCCGACGCATTATCGCCGGAGATGAAACCGGCGTCGGAGTATATGATAAGAAAATCAAGGTACAGGAGAGTTAATCGTCTAGCTAAAAAGATCAACAGCTAGGATTTTATCAGCGGATCTCACTGTCAAGAATGGACGGTCAAAAGCTTACTAGGAACCACTCATCACTTCTCCGGTTATCCACCACCGTCAGATCATCCATCCACAGCTTATCTTCTATGAACGAGATCGCACCTGATGAAGAAATATATAACCTTGAAGAACGGAAACTTCACTGCAAGCCCGTTTCACCTCTGGTTCGGTCCGGTTCAGTGCGTCTAACTCCAATACTTGCCATATTGTTCCTCTATGTATGCACCCTTTTCGCCTTCTTCAACACGGACGACATAGCCACCTCGGAAAATCTGCTTTTAGGGCTTATTTTAGTTGCGGTTTTACTTTTCTTCGCGTCGAAAAATAAGTCAAGAATCCAACAAAGTTTCAGTTTTTGTAAGGAACTGTGTTATGAGTATGGAAAAAAAGTTGGGTTCCTCTGTTTGACCTCTAAGAACGATGAAAAATCTGTGAAATGGTTCATCGGTGAATCGAACTTCGATTATAAAGAGAATGCTAAGAATATTATAAGAGAAGGAGTGGAATTTTACAGCAATGGGGATTACTATGAAGGTGAGTTTCACCAAGGTAAATGCAATGGGAGTGGAGTGTACAATTACTTCACGAATGGGAGATACGAGGGCGACTGGATTGGTGGGAAGTACGATGGATATGGAGTTGAGAGTTGGTCGAGGGGAAGTCGATATCGGGGGCAGTATAGGCAGGGATTGAGGCATGGCTATGGAGTTTATAAGTTTTACACTGGGGATACATATGCAGGGGAGTGGTGTAATGGGCAGAGTCATGGAATGGGAGTGCAATCTTGTGCTGATGGGAGTTGTTATATTGGAGAGTTCAAATGTGGGGTGAAACATGGCCTTGGTTCTTACCATTTTAGGTGAGAATTGATGTTCTTTTATGCTTGTCTCAATCTGTTTAATTGATTTTTATTTTTTTTTCGAAATTTTTGAGTTAATACGTGAATCTTGTTGGTGTCCGGAGCATAATTGGAGTGTAGGTAGCTGAAATTTTGCAGCTATAAGTGAATGAAGCTCTCGAGCGATGAGGATTGATGCTCTTTGATGCTTGTTTCTATTTGTTAAATTTTTTATTTCACTTTAGTCTTTTTTTTTTTCTTTTTCTTTTGATTTAAATTTTGAGTTGTATATGTGAATCTCAGATGTTGTGTGGAGTGTAATCGTACCGTTGGTAGCTGGAAAATTTGCAGCGATAGGTGGACAAAGCTCTCAAGCAATAAGAATTTGATGTTTTCTGATGCTTGTTTCTATCTGTTTGATTCTGTTTTACTCTATTTTTCTGTTATTTTCGAGTCGATATGTGAATCTTGTTGGACTGTGTGGAGTCTAATGTAGATAGCTGAAAACTTTGCAACGATAAGTGGATGACCCTCTCACATCTAGGGTGAACCACCATTAATTCGTATGGGCTTTCTTCGTTTTATAATGGAGTTAAGTTCAAGGTTTAATCAATGGCAAATCTTGATCGTATATGTGATTGGTTCTATGTTTGATCTGATAAAATTTTGTTGGTGTTTCTTAATAATGTTGTTTGAGATGACACAGTTTGGTTACAAATTTTGTGGGGGAGGATTCTAGTTTGTAGTAATCGGATTATATCTTATGTTGTTTTGGATTTTGTATGAGATTAGTTGCCTGAAAGTTTTCGAGTTCATGTATTCTATTTGTTGAGTTTTTTGGCTTCTTGATAGATGGAACAATAGATGGTTCTGATTATTTTGATGATTTAGAATCACAAGTTATTGAAGGAACTTGAGAATAAATATGAAATTTGATTGTCTTGTAGAAATGGAGATAGATATGCTGGTGAATATTTTGGAGATAAAGTCCATGGTTTTGGCGTCTATCACTTCTCGAATGGTCACTGTTATGAGGGATCATGGCATGAAGGACGAAAACAAGGTTATGGCATGTATACTTTCCGAAGTGGTGAGACGAGATGTGGCGAATGGGATGGTGGTAAACTTAAGGCGTCCCTTCTTCCGCTAACTGATTCAGTTCTGCGAGCTGTTCAGGTAACAATGTTACTCCTCTCTCAAAGCACAATAAGGTTACTTTTCTAGAAAATAAGTTTGAATAAAATCTAGATGGACTAACTTCTAAGCACAACCAAACATGCTCGTATGTTCACTCTTAACTCTCGTTTTCTCTTGTATTGTCCAGGCTGCTAGAAAATCTGCGGGAAATGCAATAAAACTCTGCATGGTTGATGAACAAGTGAACAAGGCTGTTATGGCATCAAACCGAGCTGCTACTGCCGCCAGAGTTGCTGCTGTTAAAGCTGTTCAGAACAGGATCGATGGAAAATTCTGCGATACTGATGTTTAAGTATTGTCCATAAATTTAAATCTTCTAAGTTGTTCTTGCGTAGAAGGTATATGAGCACCCCGATAAGCAAAAACTCGTCGGAGGTTGAGTGTATGTCGTGGTTTTGTTTCAACTAAGTAATCTGTACATGTTTCAATCATAATTTCAATGGGGAGAAAAAAAAAAAAGCAACTTTCAGCAAGTTCTTATTTTGCTCAATTCTACTTGCTAGTTGCTATAATGTTTCGATTGATTGTGGTATTGATTGGATACCATAAGATTTGAAAAAGTAATAAAGTAACATCTTTGAACAAATAAAGGATTTATATATTTAGATTCGAAAACTTTGGAACGACTGCGAAAAATATGGGAAGAATTGGCAATAAAGTGACATCTACGAACAAGTCTCCCTTGACCTTTGTTTTAGTTTGAGAAGGGAACAGCAAAAAAGCAAATTCAAAATCTTCGAAGGGGATTGAATCGAGAATGGACATTTTTTGGTCACTACATTCAATGATCATTATTATTTTTCGAGGTCCAGTGCATTAGATTCTCTCATATTGGTCCGTATTTGGTTTTTGAACTATATTTTTCTATACATATTGTAAAGATCGATCTATACAAGTACGCAAAAAATAAATGATTGATCTCAACACATTATTACACGTTAAATACGTTAAATTGTATATGATTAAATGAATAAATCAGAGCACATGATCCCACATGATCGAGTTCAGCGTATCAAATATATATAATCAAAATCAAAACACAAAATTTATAAAAGAAAAAAACAGGCACTTTTCTTGATGTGGGGTGCCCATAATTCTTTAAACTCGTGAGTGATGTGCCCTTTTCATCTTCAAGTTGAATAATTTGAAAGATTGTTCATTATTCTTATGCAAGCACGTGATGGAGAGGCGAGGAGAGGAGAGGGGAGGGGAGGGGAGGGCAGGAGAGGGGAGCGGATGGGTGGTCTTTGTTCAAAGATCAGATTAATAACCCAAATGGTGATTGACTTTGCAAAAAGTTTTCACCAGGTCACTGAACTTTAAAAATCACTCAAGTTATCACTGAATTTTGCAAAATGTTTAC